TTACGAGAACTTAATACGCTTTTTATAATAGAATAAGAAGTACCTAAGAAATAATAAGAATAAATTATTAGATAACATTATAACAACCTAATATATAGACACCCTAGCATTATAAGAACTATAGAACTTATTTAGCGTAACTACTAGTTTAAAGAGATAAAGTAAAAGGTTATAAACTATATTTAAAAATGCGTAGACTGCTAAAAGAATAAACACGGCACTTACGCACTATATAAAGAAATGTAAGCTATCTAGATTCTAGAAGAACCCTAAACTAATATATTTATAGACTTTATTACTAGACTACTAAGTTCTAAGAATCTAGTAACTAACACATTATATAATATAATACTAGTAATTATTAATTAATTTACGAAGTATGTAGAGATACTTTTATTCTATAATACTTATATAGTAAGATAACTTAGATTCGTAATCCTAGACTAACTAGTTAGGCATTACAGAATACTAAGGATAATTATTAGTAATTAAGATAAACTATTTATATCTAACTATTAGACAACATTAATAGCACTTATTAGAACAAAATAAAAACTATTAACAGCCTATTATCTATAAACAGATAGATAAACTAAATAAATAAATAGAACTATAAAAACCTACTTAAAGATATATAGTAATAAACTATAAAATAATTATATATTACTACTACTAATAGCTTAATTAGCATATAATAATAAGAAATTAGAAGTAATAGGATAAACACTGTTCTATATAAACTATAGAAGATATCTACATCTCCTTAAAAGAACTCTACTAATAAAAGTATAAATAGAAACAGCTATTAAAGACGTAAAAGATATACATAAAGTATATAAAGAGATAAGAGAAAACATATAAAAGGTATAATAAAAAAGTATTAAATATAATAACTAAAAACGAAAAACGGCACCTTAGCTAAAGAAGGGGGATAGAGTATATCTGCTTATAAAAAATCTTTACACAATATAACTAAGTAAAGGATTAGACTACGTAAAAGTTAGACTATTTTTAGTTCTTAAATAAATTAGTCTAGTAAACTATAAACTTTAACTCCTAAGTAATGTAAAGGTCTACTTAGTATTCTATGTATCTGCCCTAGAGCTGGTAGACCCTAGGATACTATTATAAATAACGTTCTACTATTAGAAGGACAAAGATAATAAATATAAAGTTAAGGCACTACGCGGTTACTGTAAAGTAGACTAATAAGACTTCTAAAATAGTAACTTCTACTAGAAATAGCTAGTAGAATAAAAAGGTTACTCTAAGTTAGAAAATATAAAGGAACCTAAAGCTAACCTAAAAAACTATTAGTAACTACTTAAAAAAGTAAGACTAAGGTTTAATACTTACTACTATACAGAATAAACGCAACTATAAAACTAGAATAAGAGTAAATAAGAGTAACGCACCCTAGAAAGGCCCTAAGAATAAGCTAGTATTTATAACGTTATAGCCTGCTACTACGTTATCTAAAGCTAATAAAGTAAACTATATTATTAGTAAAAACTTTATACTAATAGAAGTAGCTAAATAGTCTACCTTAGCGTTTACTACCTTACCCTTAGCCTTAAGCTCTAACGTAAGGTATATAGCCTTCTTTATAGTACGCTCCTTAGCCTACGCTAGAATCTTCTTATTCTATAATAACTAGAATATTACCTCCGCTAATAGCTTCTTATCTATATCTACCTTTACTTAATACTCCTCTCTAGTCTAATTAAGTAATAACTAAGATATATTAACGCACGGCTTTCCTGCATAAACGCACTTAGCACACTTTAAATAAGAATTTAGTATAATGTAGTAACTTAAGTTTTTAGAAAAATACCTATTATAAGGAACGTTAGCGATAGTGTTAGTAGTAAGGATTTTATAAAAGAGATAGAGCTAATATTTATAAGAATTAGAAGATATAATAACTATAGGACACTTATAAGGTAGGTAGGGCAAACTGCTTATAAACTAACCCTATAGGGTATTAGGTAATTAAGGGCAATTATATAAAGGGGAGGAATAATATTATAACTAGTAGGTTAAATAAGTAACAGGAATAATAATTAGTTACGTACCTAGGCACTAAATAAAGGGTACTAAGACACGAACACTAACTATTATTATATTACGTAATTAATAGCTGCGCTAAGAACTATTAATAGCTTTAGCAGGAACTATTATAACTATTAATAGTTCTACAACTAACTATTAATACTAGAGCTATATATATATAGGAACAGCAGGAACCCTTATAGTTCCTAGTGTTTAACTTAGTTAATAATCTATTATTTAGATTCTATTAAGTATTATTAATTTAATAGTTTTATAACTTTAATACTAACTACTTGTTACTTACTTACGTAACTAACAGCCTCCTCCCTGTTGTCGCTCCTGCCTAAGAACTAACTTACCCTTGTAGGACTAGCTACCCCGTAGGGACGTAACAATTGCTCCTAGGCAGTTTTGTTATTTATTCTAGATGCAGATACTATCTATAAGCAGGGTGCATTCTGTATTTTCCGCGTTAGTTTTTTATAGAAAGTACTATGCTTCGCGTTTATCTTATAGGTGTTTATCGCATTTATCTATAAGGTAATTAAACTATTCCTACTTATATTAGTGTCTAGCTCCTAGAAAGTAGCTTCTATTAATCTTATTTACGTAGTGTACCTTACAGTAGTCGTCTACGTATATTATATAGCTTATACTTCTATATTTAGAGTTATATATATTAATGTAGTAGCGTAGTTAATAGTTTAGTTATTTATTATTATACTTTTATTTCTTATTTTAATACTTATAGTTATACTTTATAGTATCTTTTATTTCTTAGGTAACTACGCGGAGTCTTCCTTTATTTTCTTCTATAGGCTTAGGTTTCTCTTTTAAGATCCTATATAGTAGAGTATCTCTATTACGTAGTTATATCTTAAACTCTTTAAGAAAGTTTTATACTACAGGCGTGCCTAGGTAAGGTTTCTTTATATCTAAATATAGCATTAGTGCTTATTAGATAGAGTAATAAGGTTCTTTTTTATTATTAAGTTCTTCTAGATCTTTATATAGTTATTTGTCTAGGGTATCTAGGCGTTCTATTATCTCTAAATTAATTCTTTTAATTATATTAACTACGTTCTATTCTTCTTCCTTTATTTCCTAGTTATCTTTTATTATAATATTTAGCTATTATTTAACTTTATTCTTAGAATAGCAGTTCTTTATAAGGTAGCTAGGCTTACTATATTTAAAGTATTTACGCGTTTCTACTTCTTAGAACTATAGTTCTATTAGAGGTTCTTTAGAGTTACGCTAGTAAGGCTTATAAAAGCCTAATTCTTTTAATTTTCTTTTCTTTAAGTTATTATACTAGATTCCTTCTATTAGCTAATAACTATAATTATTATATTAGTAGCGTTATAGTTAACTACCTAAGGCTTAATACTTTATTAGGTAGCTATTAGGTAGCTTCCTAAAGCTAGAGCGCAGCTTCTATCCTTATTAGCGCAGTTCTTAATATAACTTATACTATTTAGCGTTAATTCTAATAAATTCTTTATAGAGGTTCTTAAGAGAGGCGATAAGGTTTCTAGAGCGTAGTAGTTCTTTATAGATTTTTAGTTTTAAGCCTTACTTATATATACTATTAAGGGTACTTCTTTCTAGTTAAGCTATATAGCGTATTTCTTAAAGTGCATAGCGTAATTAGTAATAGAATGCGTCTATTAGAGTTACTATATAGCTTATTTAGTAAAAGGTACTTAGTTAGTAATACTAAAAAGCTGCCTAAGTTCTTTCTTAAAGTTCTTATAGTCTTTAATAATCTAATTAATAGCGTCGCCTTTATAATTCTTCTTAGCTAGGTAGCTTAAGAGGTATAGTTAGATCTAGGTAGCTACTTCGCCTTATAGGTATAATACTATAAGGATAACTTTCTTCTTACCCTCTATTTTAGGTTCTAAGACGTAAAAGTAGAGTTTAAGTTAAAGGACCTATTCTTTAAGTTTATTATAGTCTCTATAGTATAGGTCTAGCTTAGCTACCTTATTCTTAGGGTTAGTAACTATAGTAATACCTTTAAAGTTACTTATATTAAGGGTGTTTAATATATTACATCCCTATAGGGTAGCTAATCCTATAAGAGTAAGTTAGTTCTTAAGTAGGAGTAATAATAAGGGGGAGGCTGTTAATTACGTAAGTAAGTAATAGGGTAGTTAGTATTAAAGTTATAAAACTATTAATTAATAATGCTTAATAGAATTTAAATAATAGATTATTAACTAAGTTAAACCCTAGGAACTATAAGGGTTCCTGCTGTTCCTATATATATATAGCTTTAGTGTTAATAGTTAGTTGCAGGACTATTAATAGTCGCGGTAGTTCTTACTAAAGCTATTAATAGTCCTTAGCGCAGCTATTAATTACGTAATATAATAATAGTTAGTGTTCGTGTCTTAGTACCCTTCGTTAGCGCCTAGGTACGTAACTAATTATTATTCCTGTTACTTGTTCGACCCACTAGTCGTAACACAGCGTAGGGTAGCTTCTGCCCTGTAGCTAATACAGCCTTAATTATTAAGACCTACTCGCGATTCTCTAGCGACTTAATGTAAGCCTTCCTTTTTTAGCTATTTGCGAGCACCCTAGAGTTAGTACCTACACTAAGGGTAATACTAGTCTTATTAATATTCTAGATATTCTCTGCCTGTATACCTAGCCTCATTCTAACGCGCTTAAATAGCTTAAGAAACGCGTTAATTTGTTCTAGTGTAGCTGCCTGAGCGCGGCTTGTATCCAGCTTTCTCCCTATAACAGAAGTAACGCGTGGGTTGCGCTGTATAAAGTGTTATATCCACCTCTTGCCTAGAGGCTCTACGTCGCCGTTTATACGAAGAATTTAGGTTGCTATTTCTCGAGCGCGCGCGTGCGAGGGAGGGTAGCCATTAGTATCCTGCTTAAGAATCTACTCTACTAGGAAGCTTTCTTAATCTAGTGTTAATCGCTGCTAGTTGGCGTGGCTAGCGCGTCTGTTCGCCATACCACCTAGTCAATCGCGTAGGGTGGAGGGAGGAACACCGTAGGCCTTTGCGGCGGCTCGTTGGCTTGTAAAAACACCGGCATTGTATTGCGCGATAGCAAATTGTATACTCTGCTCGCGTATATCCATATTAAACAAGAAGTGTTGATAAAATACGCGTCTTTGTGAGGATGCGCGATTTGGTGGGGGTGCGCGAGAACTAGGGGTGCGCGAGTTCCCTGTGCGCGAGCTTAGTTCTTTGTAAGGTAGCCTAGCTTACTATATATAAAGTATTTACGCGTCTCTACTTCTTAAGATTATAGTTTCTTTAGAGGTTCTCTAGAGTTACGCTAGTATAGCTTATAAAAGCCTAGTCCTCTCTCTTTTCTTTTCTTTAAGTTATTATACTAGATTTCTTCTATTAGCTAATAACTATAGTTATTATATTAGTAGCGCTGCAGCTAGTTACTTAAGGCTTAAAGCTTTATTAAATAGCTATTAGATAGCTTTCTAAAGCTAGAATATAGCTTTTACTCTTACTAGCGTAGTTCTTAGTATAGTTTATACTATTTAGTATTAATCCTAATAGACTCTTTATAAAAATCTTTTAGAAAAGTAACTAGGTTTCTAAAGCGCAGTAGCTCCTTATAGAATTTTAGTTTTAAGCCTTATTTATATATAACTATTAAAGGTACTTCCTTCTAGTTAAGCTATATAGCATATTTTTTAAAGTATATAGTATAGTTAGTAACAGATAATATCTAGCAGAGTTACTATATAGCTTATTTAGTAAGAGGTATATAGTTTATAATACTAAAGAGTTACCTAAGTTCTTTCTTAAAGTTTTTATAGTCTTTAATAATCTAGTTAATAGTATTACCTTTATAATTTTTCTTAGCTAAGTAGCTTAATAGGTATAGTTAGATCTAGGTAGCTACTTCGCCTTATAAGTAAAATACTATAAGAATAATCTTCTTCTTTTCTTCTATTTCTAGTTCTAAGATATAGAAGTAGAGTTTAAGTTAGAGAATTTATTTCTTAAGTTTATTATAGTCTCTATAGTAGAGGTCTAGCTTAGCTATTTTATTCTTAGAGTTAGTAACTATAGTAATACCTTTAAAGTTACTTATATTAAGAGTGTTTAATATATTACGTTCCTATAGGGTAGCTAATCCTATAAGGGTAAGTTAGTTCTTAGATAGAAGTAATAATAGGAGAGAGGTTATTAATTACGTAAGTAAGTAATAGGGTAGTTAGTATTAAGGTTATAAAACTATTAAATTAATAATACTTACCAGAATCTAAATAATAGATTATTAAATAAGTTAAATACTAGGAACCTTAGAGGTTCCTAGGTTCCTATATATAATAATACTATCCCTTTAGGGTGTTGCTATCTAGGTAGTGCAGAAGGGTTTAGCTATCTAGAGATAGTTAACTATTTCTTACTTAGCAAAATGTTATCGCTTAGCAGGATAGTATTATTATATAATCTTAGTTGCAGTAATACGGTGCCGCTTCGCACTATCGCTGTTATCCTATTCTTTCTGTTCTTTATTCTACATTCTTAGATCTTAACACCTTTATACTGCTTAGTATTTACTAACCTTTATATCTACCTTAGTTAATATCCTACTAATTAATCGTAAACGTGCAATTAGAAAGCGAAGCGATTTTATTTAAAAAAAATCTAGTTTAAGCTCTTTTATATCTATTAAAAAGAAAATAGTTAATTGTTAAATATTAATAATATATTATAAAGAAATAGCCTTATAGGTTTATCTATCTTTTTTATTATATACTATTAGTAACAGAAGCTGCTAGTTATTTTAATTTTATTACTCTAGAGAATTATAAACTATTATTTAAAACTCTAACTAATATACTTAGATATCTATTAAACGCATAAGATTAAATTCTATAGAGAAATTAGCAGCTTATAATAGGTAAAGTACTACTTATTATTATAGTTCTAAGGATAGCTAGTCCTAAGATATAAGATTAGTTCTTAGATAGAAGTAATAAAGAAAAGTAAAAAGTATTAAGTATATGTTAAGATTTAAGATTATAGAATAAAGAGTAAAAAGGTTAGAATAATAGTAATAGTGTAGGGCGGCACTATATTACTGTAGCTAAGATTATATAATAACACTATCCTACTAAGTAATAATATCCTGCTAAGCAAGGGATAGTTAACTATTTCTAGATAGTTGTACCTTCTACGCTTTCTAGATAGCAACACTCTAAAGGGATAGCACTATTATATATAGAAACCTAAGAACCCCTATAGTTCCTAGTATTTAACTTATTTAATAATCTATTATTTAGATTTTAGTAAGTATTATTAATTTAATAGTTTTATAACCTTAATACTAACTACCCTATTACTTACTTACGTAATTAATAACCTCTCTCTTTATTATTACTTCTACCTAAGAACTAACTTACCCCTTTAGAACTAGCTACCCTATAGGAATATAATATATTAAACACCCTTAATATAAGTAACTTTAAAGGCATTACTAGTTACTAACCTTAACAATAAGGTAGCTAAGCTAGACCTATACTATAGAGACTATAATAAACTTAAAGAATAGATTCTTTAACTTAAACTTTACATTTATATCTTAGAACTAGAAATAAAGAGTAAGAAGAAAGTTATTCTTATAGTATTATACTTATAAGGTAAAGTAGCTACCTAGATCTAACTATACCTAGTAAGCTACCTAGCTAAGAAGAATTATAAAGGTAATACTATTAACTAGATTATTAAAGACTAGAAGAACTTTAAGAAAAAACTTAGGTAACTCTTTAGTATTACTAATTAAGTACCTCTTATTAAATAAGCTATATAGTAACTCTACTAGATATACTCTATTATTAATTACGCTATATACTTTAAAAAATACGCTATATAGCTTAACTAGAAGGAAGTACTTCTAATAGTTATATATAAGTAAGGCTTAAAACTAAAAATCTATAAGAAGCTACTACGCTCTAGAAACCTTATTACCTCTCTAAAGAATCTTTATAAGAAGTCTATTAAAATTAATGCTAAATAGTATAAACTATACTAAGAACTACGCTAGTAAAAGTAGAGGCTATATTCTAGCTTTAGAAAGCTATCTAATAGCTACCTAATAAAGCCTTAAACCTTAGGTAGTTAACTATAGCGCTACTAATATAATAACTATAGTTACTAGCTAATAAAAGAAATCTAGTATAATAACTTAGAGAAAGGAAAAGAGAAAGAACTAGGCTTTTATAAGCTATACTAGCGTAACTCTAAAGAACCTCTTATAAGACTATAATTCTAAGAAGTAGAGACGCGTAAATACTTTATATATAGTAAGGTAGGCTACCTTATAAAGAACTACTATTTTAGAAATAAGGTTAAATAATAACTAAACGTAATATTAATAGATAACTAGGAAATAGATAAAGAATAGGACGTAGTTAGTAAAATTAAGAGAATTAACTTAAAAACTATAGAACGCCTAGATACCCTAGATAAATAACTCTATAAAGATCTAAAGGAACTTAATAATAAAGAAGAACCCTACTACCTTATCTAGCAGGTACTAACCTTATATTTAGATATAAAGAAGCCTTACCTAGGCACGCCTATAGTATAGAACTTCCTTAAGGAATTTAAGATGTAACTACGTAATAGAGATACTCTACTATACAGAATTCTTAGAAAGAAACCTAAACCTATAGAAGAATATAAAAGAAGACTCTATATAGTTACGTAAGAGATATAAGATACTATAAACTATAACTATAAGTATTAGAATAAAAGCTAAAAGTATAATAATAAATAACTAAACTACTACCTACGTTACTATATTAATATACATAATCTAAAATATAAAAGTATAAGCTATATAATATGCGTAGATAACTATTATAAAATATATTACGTAGATAAAGTTAATAGAAGCTACTTCCTAGGGGTAAGATATTAATATAAATAGAAATAGTTTAACTACTCTATAGATAAGTATAATAAATATCTATAAGATAAACGCGAAGCATAGTACTTTTTATAGAAAACTAACGTAGAAAATATAGCTTGCACCCTGCTAGTAGATATTATCTATATCTAAGATAAATAGTAAAACTGTCTAGAAGTAATATGTAAGAAATATTACTATAAAAAGAAAAAGAATAGATTCTACTTATACCCTCTAGTATTTACTATATAAATTAATTCTAAATATAGTATAAGGTATAAACTTAGTAGAGGATAAAGTAATAATAGCTACTAAGCACCTAAACTTAGAAAATAATTTTTTTTAGACTAAAACTAAGGCGTAAAGATGCTTTTTAAGAATTTAATACTATAGGTAATAGAGTATTAATAAAACTTACTATTTAGCTTAGAAATATTAAAGCTAAAGCTATAATAAACTTAGAAGCCTAGAAGAACTATATCTTACTAACTATTACTAGAAAAGTAAGACTTACGTAAAGATAAAAATAATAGTTATACCTTCTATACGTAGAAGATAGGGTATTAATACTAAAGATACTAAAAATAAACTATAAGGTTAGAATAACACTTAGGATTAACTAATACTAAAAGTAGATTACTTTTAATATACTAAGATTCTCTAGTTATAAAGTAGTATTAGGACTACTATAGTTAAGAAAATATAACCTATAGATTAATTAGAATAGAAAAAGATATCTCTAACACGCTATAACTATATACTATAAGCAAAACCTATATATTAATAAAGTTTAATAATAGATAAAAGAGAACTTAATATACTCTTATAACTAGAAGTTAATAAATATAAAATAACTTTAGAAGACGCTAGTAGGAACTACTAGGTTATAAAACGTAAGAAAATAAGTACTAGTATAACTTATAATATCTCTAAACTATATTAAAAATAGAAACACCTATTTTAGAAAGAGGAAGGAAAAGTAAACCTATTTAAGTACTAACCCTAGGATTATATAATTAACCTAGAAGAAGGAAAAGTACTACCCTTTAGACTACTCTATATAAAAATAGGTAAAGAACTTAAATAGAAAAGAGAATTTATAAAGAAAAACCTAAAAAAGGGATATATTTAAACCTTAAAATTACTAGCAGCTAGCCTATTTACCTTTATAATAAAGAAGGATAGAGAATAATAACCCTATATAGACTACTAAAAGCTTAACGTAATAACTATTAAAAATTAGTATCTACTACCTAACGTAAGTAAACTAAGGGATAGACTTATAAAAGCTTTTATCTTTACG